AGAAAAATAATGAAACAAACTCAAAAGGTTCAAATGTGTTGAAAAAAAATAACAAGTATCTTTATATCTGTTTGCTGAATACAGGACTGCGTCTTTATCCCAACCCGCTTCTATGGATTCGTGACACTTTGCGTTTCTCAGGCGAGTCTTGATATCTTAAGTTGTTTTTCAATAAACAACTTTTTGGTATCTTCAGGCGATATTCGTTAAAACTTGTTTTGGTGGTGTGAGTCGTTCTTCAAAAAAAATTGCTTTTGGTTAGAAGTCTAAGTCGGAATGCGTGGAAATCTTTCAGTCAGCTCCTGCGAGGCTGGTCTCCGAGCTCACAGCGCTCTGTCGATCTGTGTGCGTCTCCGATCTCCAACCCAACTCAACTATAACACTCGAAGCTCTGGGGACGTTCGTTTATATGGGCTGTCGTGGTTTGGGTTCTTCGATAATTCCAAATCCCCAGTAAGGATTTTGTTTGTCTTCAGACAGGAAAATTTATCACTTCCCATTTTTGGAAGTCAATTACTTTCTGTTTTAGAGGGGGTCATAGGAGAATTATCCTTCTAAACTCTTAATTTCTCATTTTGGTATATCACACCAATCCCCTCAGAAGGCGTCAACAAGTTTCTCTTTCTCATATGTTTACCTTCGCCCATCACTCCCGCCACCACTCAGCCAATGAACGCTCGGCAGTGTGGGCGTGGCTAGACTGGCCTCAGTTTACAATTATCACCCAAAGGAAAAAAATTATCCTCCCTTTTCTTTCTTTCTTTTCTATCGGCCATAATTCTTATGAATCGTACTGCGGACATTAAATTTTTTTATCTTAACTTGGGGTCACCTGGAATTCATTAGCGGAATTTTTTCTGATTTATTAACTGGGTGGTCACCAAATCTATTTGTCTCTCTCGTCTCAATATCATCGCATTCTGTCGCCAACAGCTTGTACAGGTAGTAATAATGGCTTCCTTCGTCGTTTTTTTTTAAAGATAACTGAATTGAAATTTTTATCACTGTCATACGTGTGGGCAGATTGTTATTCTTTATCCGTATTCTGTTCCCTTTGGCGCTTAACTCTTATCATGACAAGATCCGGACATACAACAGATGGGTCTTCTTCTAGACACAAGAACAAAAACCAAATGATATCTTCGAAAGATAATTAATGGCTATTCTTTTCGGGGTGGTCTCACCTAATTCTTTCTCGGTCGCATGCTTGACCCAGTTTCGATTATCTTCTAGAATTCTGCTTTGTATGCCTCTGACCGAATTGAAATTTTTATTATTACCACACGTGTGGGCAGATTGTTATCTTTTATCCGTATTCTGTTTCCCTTGTGGTGTCATGACACTAATTAATTCTGACAGAATCCGATACCTGTTTTTCTTACGAATTTTCTATCTTCTGCGAAAAAATACATTTCTTCGTGAATGAAAAGAAAATCTTTACCCATTTTTCTTTTGTTAAAAAAAAAAATGTCACTTGGTATGTTTTTCGTTATAGCTCTTTCTCGCCTTAAGTATTTCTCGTTTTTAATTTCCATGCTTAATTAGTTAGCCAATTACCATAGCTTAATAGGGGTTTTCCAATAACTTGGACCGATTTCCAAGGGGTTTTCCAATAACTTGGACCGATTTTAAATGTGAATTAAGTTTAAGCTTCTTTTTTTTTCAGATTTAAGTCTTTAGCAATTTCAACCATGGAAAGATTAACAATTAAATAATGTGTTAAAGTTTCAAGAGTGCAATTGGAATAATTGTTCGTAAATTCAAACAAACTGGGTCTGTGGAATATATGAAAACATCATTGCGTGCTCGTTTACGCCGTTCAGCTGAAAATATTGCTGCTGTGTACGAGAATCCGGTCGAAAGTCCAGACACCTCTATTCGTCGTCGAGGGCAGGTATTGAACCTCTCCACAACAACGTTACATCGTTTCCAATTGCACTCTCAGTTGGTCGATTATATTGACCAAAGAAATCGCGCAGTGTGCGAAACGCATTTCTGTTTGAACGTCTATTTTCGTAATAGGCTTTGATAACTTTAACACGTTGTTTGATTGTTAATCTTTCCATGGTTGAAATTGCCATCGCTATGATTTGTTGGTTTTCTCGGGTGTAAAGTCGAATCTTGCCCAATGTTTGTCCAGAAACATGCTCTGGTTTTAAGTTTAAAGTAAATTAAACGCGTTTATAGTAGAGAATAAAGGTTTTAATAAAATCCTCTCTTTTAGTAGCTAAGTAGAATTCATATATTTGAGGTGAAATCCAAGGAATAGATCCAGCAAATGATTTATTTTTTAAATTTTTTTTGGTTGTGTAGACGTCGTGTTTATATTAGCCTTCGTGTTTCTACTTGTATCCCTTTTTTTAACTGAAAAGTAGCATTTATTTATTATCCCCATTCAGGAAAAGTAAGCGAGAAAATATAGAAAAATATACTGAAAAAAGTTTGAACAAAGTAACTATAAACAATTTTTTTCTATCCTCTTCCAGCCACAATGATGGAGAATGCATTACCCGAACTATCGCCAGCGAGATACGCTGTAAGAGCCACTCCGTTTCGCGAGGCTCGTCCCTTAATCGAGACGCAATCGCGCCAATCCTCCGAAGGAACGTCATCGAACGAGGGCCAATAACCCCAGAAGTCTCCACTGCCACAGGAGTAAAAAAAAAATCTATCAGCAAGAGAAGAATATTTAAATAGATTACATTTTAGCCATTATATATGATAAAATGACTGGTATGAAATAACCGAATAAACTATAGAAGAGGGGAATGTGCAAACGAGTCGGATGTTTACTTTTTTTTTATTCTCTTGCTCATCTGTCGTTCAATAAGAATGTCAGAACATCGGAAAAAAAAAATGAGGGAAAAATTATAACCATGGCAACCGAGCTGTTTAGAAACGCTGTTGTTGATTCGAAAATTTGTAAAAAAAAATTAACATTTAATAAAATTAAAAATAAATGTTTGTGAGTAAAATAAATATCTGTGGACAAATCAATTGAGATTTGTGCATAGGAAAATGTTTAAATAAATGCAAAATACAGTGATTTGATGCAGAAAATGAAAAGTTATCGTAAGAAAAATATATTCGCGTATATATTAAGAAAATAGTGAATACATTTAATTTAAATTATGCTTTTTGATAATATGACTTAAGTGTCAAATAATATAGAATTAGGTTAAAATAAAATTTATTTTCTATGAGGGAGCATAAAGAATTTAAGGAATCCGTTATATATATATATATATATATATATATACATAGACACACACACATATATATATATATATATATATATATATATATATATTGTGTGTATATATGTATTGAATGATAACTCTAACATTTTTAGGCATTTAAAACAACATGCCTGGCCGCATACACAATTCCGGAAAATCCTTGTTGAAAACACAACTATACTTAAACATGAAAACAATAAAAACTAAAAATTCTTGAAGCTATATACATAAAACAGTTGAAAGCTAACCAGAACAAAATAAACTATGAAATCTTCGCGAATATTCTTAAATGCCTATATTTGGTAACAGAAGCCATTGGTTTATGCCAACGGCGTCCCATACTTAATAGTTCTCGTTTTCACTCTCGCGTGATTATGTGTGACATCATGAGCTGCGGTGTGATTTTCGCTTTCAGCGTCTTGTGTGCAGGAGTTTGTCGTTGCTTGGAAATCTTCCATCTAAACAGGAACAGACTATCATCATTGTTTTGTCCGTGTATTGTTTAATATATTGTAATGTAATTGTCATCTTTGATAATGGCTTATGTAAGCCGAAAGCTTAGATAGGATTAAAAAAAATGTATCAATATTGTGATTTTCTTTCTTCGTTTAATGATGTTATTAAGTTTATCAGACGATATGAAAAGAATTTACATAAAATAAACAGACAACACTTGTCTATATTATTTAATGAAACATGCATCAATATATATATATATATATATATATATATATATATATTTATACACGTTTCATTAAATAATATAATATATATATATATCCAGGTAAGATAAGAACGAATAGAGTACAATTCCAACGTTCGTAACATTTAATGGATATGCATTGAAACACGACTGCAATTGCGTACCAATTTTACATGTTTTCGGTGTAATATCCTAAGATAATCATATATATATATATATTAACTGATTTAAAATATGGTTTCTTTTGCTCCACAGGAATTACCATACAATATCAAAAATATTCTTTTATTATAATATATATATATATTCTTTTATTATAATATATATATATATATATATATATATTTTTATTATAATATATATAATATTCTCTTATTATAATATATATATATTCTTTTTTATAATATATATATATATGTGTGTGTGTGTGTGTGTGTGTATGTGTCTGTGTGTGTGCGTGCGTCCGTGTGTGTTTGTATTTATTATGTTAGAATAAAAGTTCTCAGCGTTTTTTAATGTTTGAACACATGAACTCGTTCCACACGTGACTGAAAATTATGACATATATACATATTCTGAAACGTGACAATTTCATCACGTTTTTCAATACGATTCGTGTGCGCTTTTTGATTTTTAAATGTTTCTATTTTACGAAAGATATTAGAATAACATCATGATGTCAAAATAGATATGAGACAGAAAGCCCCATTAGGAGAATGGTATATAATAAAAAAAAAAAGATGGAAAGAAACCGAGTATGATAATTGCAATCTATGCACGGAAGAGAAAGTACAAATTGTAAGATTTAAGAAAATGAATAAATAAAAAGGTTTAAATTATTTTGAATTGACAGTATGCTGGCACATTTCTTTTAAAAAACGGCAAAAGAACACGTCACCCTTTTTGAAAAATCGCCAAGCGTTCAACATTGCTGCATATGGATAAATAAAGAAAAACCGTTATTTTTTTATATACACCACTTCCGACACACGCCTACACGCATATATATAGAAGAATGTTGCGTGCCATTTGATTGATATATCAGTAAAGAGTTTCAGTCTGTCCATATCTATCTATCTATCTATCTATCTATCTATCTATCTATCTATATCTATCTATCTCAGTTTGTTTATTAATATATGTGTGTACCCACCTACTTATCTAGCTAGCATCTTTGTTATATATGTAAAATCTGGATTTCCCACAAACGTTTAAATCGTTGAGGTGATCGATTGGTAGATATACGCTTACAAATATTGAAACCATTCTGCCCATAAGTATTGAGCTTATTGTTGGCAATGGAGATAGTTTCTGAACTGTTTGACCAACTTCGGATATTGGGAAGATATTTTCGTTTGTTCGAGCGTTTACTTTCGTGTCATATCCCAAGTAATCGAATCCAGGCGTATCTTGTTTTAATGGTCGGCACACACCATGTGCAATGCAAACTGCAATATTTTCCATATTTATTTAGCTGTTCTGAGCATGAAGCTTAACGCCACAGAAACACGAGATCTCGGTTCAATAATCCAAGCCCTTTGGTGGATTTGTTCTCGCTTCTCTGATGACATCAAGAAGCCAGATGAGATGGTAAACGGCAATTCATTTTGATAAAAGATGAACAGAGTTTGATGCTTTTGAGCCTTGACACTGGAGAGGTCGAATTGAGGAGAGAACAGTGAGCCTGGCAGAGACGAGCGATTTGAGAAAGAGAGTTACAAAGAAAAGCGAGAAGTCAGGATAGAAAGGGTGGAAGGGCGAGGGAAAAAGAACAGGTTAGATTTGTAGGAAAGAAAGGAGAGGACGAGAGAAAGTAAGACGGAAATGTAGGGAAAGAGATAAGCAAGAGGAAGATGGAGAAAGAGAATGTGTGAGAGAGAAGCAGAAAGTAGAGACAGAATGATTGAAAAAGAAAGGGGAAGAAAGAGCAAGTGGGATTAAGGAGAGGAAGATAGAAAGAGAAAGGAAAAAGAAGGGAGAGATAGAGTGAAAAACGGAGCGAGAGAGAGGTTGAGGGAGAATAAGAGACAAATAAGATAGTGGTAGACAGGGAGAGAGCGAGAGGGTCGAAAAAAGGAAAACAGGATGAGAGAGAAGACAAAGAAGGAAATCAAAGAGAATGGTGGGCGAGAAGGAAGAAAAGAGAATTTGTGTGTGCGTTTATGTGTATGGGAGAGAGAAAAAGAGAGAGATAAAATCAGGAAGTCGACATAGAAAGACTGGAAGTGTGATGGAAAAGAACAAGTGATATTGGTAGAAAAGAGTAGGTGAGATTGAACGTGATAACGAGAGAAATTAAGACGGAAATGCAGGGAAAGAGAAAAATGAGAAGAAAATGGAGAGAGAGGGTTTGTGGGAGAGAAGCAGAAAGCAGCGAGAGAAAAACTGAAAAAAAAAACAGGGGAAGAAAGAGCAGGTGGTATTACGAAGAAGGAGATAGAAAAAGAAAGAAAAAAAACTGGGAGAGGTAGAATGACAAACGGAGAGAGAGAGAGGGGGGGAGAATGCGAGACAAATAAGATAGTGGTTGATGCAGAGAGAGCGTGAGAGCGAGAGGGTCGAAAAAGGAGAACGGGTTGAGAGAGAAGGAAATCAAAGAGAATGGTGTGCGTGTAAGAAGGAAAGAGAATTTTTGTGTGTGCGTGTTAGTGAAAAAAAAAAAAAAACGGGGAGAAAGAGAGAGAGAGAGAGAGAGAGAGAGAGGAGTAGTAGGAGGAGAAATGAGTGAGAAAAGGAGAGCGCGAGAGGCGCGAAAGAGGAGAACGTGATGAAAGAGAAGAGGGGTGGAAATCATAGGGAAGGGCGTGCGAGAGAGAGAGAGAGAGAGAGAGAGAGAGAGAGAGAGAGAGAGAGAGAGAAACAGAAATCGATAGACAAAAACAATAAACTTGCAAAACAGACAGACTTTATTAACCTTATGAAGCAGGTTAAATGCTTTGTTTTGGAGATAATTGTTGATTTCGGAAAAAACAGAATTTAAAAAAATATTTAAAGTAAAAAAAAAAATAAGTAGTTAATTTACTTACGGTAAATTAGGAACGACACGAGCAGGATACATGAAATCACTCAGTGGAATTGAAAATTCCTGGGTTATTGTAGATTTTAAAAATAAAACTGAAGACTGAAATTTGTCTTCAATTATCAGTCAGTGCCATCACGTGATACACGCTTGAACGATCATGTCTCTTACGATTCATGGCTGACTTGGCAGAAGGTATTCCCGCAGGAGGTTGCCGTTTCTTTCTGATGCAGACTGGTTGCCAACCCAGATCATAGAACCCAGTCTATCCTACTATTCACCCCATGGCTGGGAAAAGTATAGATGGATTCATACATTTCTCAAGGGTATTTTCGCGTAAGTGAATGAAAAGATCTCGACTGGAATTCGAACTCGGGGGCCCTATTTCTCATGCTCAGCCGCTATCCATTACACCACACCCCGCCGCACATTTTCAATTATATATTCTTTTAATTCTTAGTTGTCATACCCGCTAGAACTATTTCAGAGAAAAAGAAAGAGTTAAAAAAAAAACTTCCAATTTCATTGAACTTACAGTCATCCAATCATTAACCAATTTTTATTAAAAAAAAAACAACTCAGATTTGAAGAAATGCCTAAATCAGTGTTTCCCAAACAGGGTTGCTAATATTTCCAAACGGTAGGTTAAAACTCATTTATTTGACATTAGAATGCGGACAAACAAAATATTCGGAAAATTGGTTTAAATGTAGCATTTTCTATGTTAAATAGCATACTGACTGAATTTAGTCCAACCTCGAGTTCTTATGAAAAGTATACGGAAAAAATGCATATAAATTCATTTTCTAAAAACTTATCAGCACGATTTGCATTATTTCTTACAAACTGAATTTGTGGATATCTAGGTTTCTTCACTGTTAGCTTCTTGCAGCTTCGCTATTTTGGAGAATCAAAACCTAAGGAGAATTTATATGAAATCGGTAAAAAAAAATCAAGAAAGTATAAATTGCAACTGAAATTTGGCCAATAATATAATTTTTCGGTGTATCATCATTTTAAATACCATAGCCCCATTCTAACAGAAAAAAAAGTATGTATCCATAAACAAAGAAGAAAATTAAAGAATTCGTTTCAGGAATCTTTCAATCACATGCTGTGGTGTTGTAAAGACGACATTCGCTTTCCATTCTTCGGTGGTAAAAGTCTGATTTCTCCAGCGGAACTATTCGTTCATCAAGTGCAGTTTGTGAAAACTTTTCTTGGAAACTTCTGTGATTTAAAGACGTTGTTATTGCGTCGAATTTTCCATATTGTTGAAAGTAGCTTCAGGTGGCATTCACATCTCACTCAGAAAAGTGAACTAGATTTTTCAAGAATTACTTAAACCCATGAACTTTATTTTTGGCGTATCTTTTCAAGATGGCTATTTAGACTACGTCTATATGAGATTTTTTTTATGTCAGCAACTTGAATTTTCTTTAAAAATTATTTGAAACCTAAGTCATAAAGCATTCATGCTTGTTCAGCAACTTCTTTTTTGAGATTCTTTAATCATTCAGTATGTTCATAATTCTGTATCCATCTTTTGATCTTTTTGTCTACTAAAATTCCTAATTAGAGAAGGAACAACGTTTTATAAGATTAGAGATTACCGCAGAAGCGTTAGGATTGCATGTAAATTTCAAGAAAACTGATTACCAGAGATTGAAAATATGACATGAGAATTTTTTAATTCCACGTGCCATGCCGTTTTTTTTTTGGGGGGGGTATCTCAGTATCAGTTAATTCCTTTTAGTTACTTAACTCTCCAAGTTTTTGTTCTTCAAGGACATATGGCTCAGTGGATAAAAAGCGTTGGTTGAATCATCTAAAAAGTAACTTGACTCAATATCTGGCCACAGCAGAGGGAACAAAAACTTGGAGAGCAAAAAGGGCATGGCACGTGGAATTAGATAAATCTACTTCCGGTTCGGTCCGAAATTTCAACGTATGAAGAAGGCCGGGGCGTACAACGGCCGAAACGTCGTGAATATGGCAATAATGGCAACAGCCCGAACGATGTAAATAGTGTAAATAGTTACAATACCTCATCTCAGAACGAAAGACAGATCACACGAGAAGGAAATAAGCTGAAGTAGGTAGGTTTGGTTTGTTTTGTTTTATGGCATATCAACCTGAATGGGTTATTTAATGCCGACAAAATTTTTATTGCTGGTAATATTTTTTTTTCAAAAATGTATTTATGGTAATATTTATTTTTGTCAAAAAATGTATTGATGGTGATATTGTTTTTTCAAAAATCTATTGCTGGAATTTTTACTACAAAACCTATTTTTACAGTTTCATAGTGTTTTGACCCCCGTTTTGAGGGTTGTCCATAGCTGGACCTGGGAACAGCAGCAATTAAGAGGTGGTTCCACGCTACTCAAAATCTCCCGATCAGATGACGGATGTAGTTTATCGTCATACCCAGGACGTAAAGCAAGTAGGTGACTTGGTGGTTAGATTCAGTCAAGTGAAAAAGACATGGCGATCAGAATTGTGCAAGCTTGGTGCGGACTAAACCCAATGGAAAGGACATGGAAGACGAATCTCCAAAACTATTTGAAAATAAGTTACTTCCAAGCTACAGTGGAAAGCGTGCTGCTCTACGGTACTGAAAGCTGGGCTTTAACAACGAAGATGGTGATAGTCATGAGGGAACATAAACACGAAGATGCTTAGGACTACATTTATTGTATCAGGGAAAGAACACAAAACAAACAAGGCACTCTACTGGAAACTGCAAAGTGTGGCGGAATCGCTACTGATAAGAAGACTACGATTCATTGGGCATATTTGTAGGAAGAAAGAAGTGCTGTTTAGTACAGTACTCTATTAGTAACTTAAAACACGGAAAACAGAAGAGAGGGAAATTGTTGTAACCTAGGGAAGATTACTAAATAGAATAATTATACGAAGGTTGGTGATAAACGATAATACTTAGGACACGAACAACACATATAAGATTCGCCAGCGGCGCGTAGTAGCAGTCAACTGCTAGAAGTGAGTCAAATGAATTCCACAATGAATTCCAACTGCAGGATATCTACCAAGCGCACCACGCGGTCAGATGTGGTACAAAGCCGAATTTAATGTGTGGTATCCGTGCCCGTAGAGTCGGCCATAAATTCCCCGTAGACCCCGTATAAAACGGGGTCGGCTAGCTATTTCTCGAGACGAAATTCTGCCCTTCGACATAGCCTCGTCTGGGGATCCTCTCTACCCGGAGGCAGATGGTTTGACCAGCACAGCTGGAGACGTATCTCTGACTGCAGACCAACATACAGTATTTACTACTGTATGTGAATGGGGACATACCCATTATCATCCGTAGGTATGCTACAACAGAAACCGACTAAAGTATATGTGGATCAGCTCAGAAAATATTCGTTCAAAGAGCGAAGAATTAAAAATGATCATAGGAGGAGAATGAAAAAAAAAATAGTCAAATATGTTCAAGTTCTCTTGAAATAGCAAAAGAACTTCCTATGAAAATAGAAAATTGACACTCAAACTTTTCAAAGCGAAATAATCAAATTATTTAACTTCTCTTTTGCAGCTTTGAATATACCTTGGAATATAAGATTTACTTCCAAGTACATTTGCAAATGGCAAAAAGTTGTGAAATGGCACCTTTTTGTTTATTATATTACTTGATCCTTGAAGCAATACTTATACAACAAAAACAATCTCCTATAAATATAAACAATTATAATTTAAGATCTCAATCCTCAAGTGTATACAACACACACACACACGCACCTTGGCTACGCCATAACACGGAACTCACCATTTGTCTCCCAGAAAACCGAATGTCTGACGGAATTTCCTCCATGTCTGAAGAATATTAGTTGTAATTTGGAAAAATCGATCAGTAAAATTAATAGACATAATAATACAATTAATTAATAATAATTTCCTTATATATATATATATATATATATATATATATATATATATATATATATATATATATATATATATAAAATTTTTATTTATTTTTTTATTTTTTAGAATAATCACACGAAGGTTGGTAATAAACGATAATACTTCAGACAAGAACAACGCATATAAGATTCGCTAGCTGCTAGAAGTGTGAATTCCACAATGAATCTCCAACTGCAGGATATCTACCAATCGTCTGTAGGTATGCACACACACACACACACACACATATATATATATATATGTGTTAATTTTTTAATTATTTTTATTGTTCAAAACACCTCATATATATATATATATATATATATATATATATATATATATATATATATATGAGGCAAATATCAAATTTATCACTTAGCAGATTGATGTTATATTCAACACCGCTGAATATAACATAGACGAATATTTTGTAATCGTTCGGTCCACTCATCAGGAGTTTTCAGTAATTAACTGCCGATTTTCTCATTTTTGTTATTTTTATATATTTTTTCAATCAAATTCACCCCATGCAAGGCAGTAAAGCCACTAAAACACAAGGAGTTACTGAGTGTGATAAAATTAGAAAACATGAAGGAAGGAGAACAATAGAAGGGTAATCAGGAAGACACTAGATAACGATTGACATTGCATTTAACTTTTTCAATATCAAACTCGACTGGAAAGCATGAAGTCGTAAGTGTTCCACAAGCGAGAAGTGCGAAAAATAAACTGTTAGCATAGACCTTACGGTTACATCTAGCCAGTTCAACTGTAAATTGATGAAATTTTGCTGCTAATCTAGCACTGCCCTGAAATTCCTAAAGACTAGGTACCATAGCGAAGAGCTGACCCGAACAATTACCATGGGACTATTTATGGCGGGTTTTAGCTGTGAAGGTTAGAACTGGAGCAAATAAGAAGTGTAGTCTATCTGAACACTCTCCATGGAAATAGCGATAGCGTCT